GAGAAGGTTTTGGCTTGCTCTTGCTCAATAATTTAGCACACATTTTTTTCTCCAAACCATCCAACAAAAACTGACCTAAATTTTGGAGATACACCCACAAAATTATAAATTCATATTTTATGCTATTTCCTCATATACAGTCGCTGATCATCCGATATATTATAATTTAAAATAAAAAAATTCAAGGTGATTCTCATCCACACAGACATCTTAAGCGCCTAGGAAAAAAAATCTTGTGACATAAAAAAACATCTAAGCGTAGCTAGTCAAGGACGGCTTTAGTCAAAAGTCAACACCCGGTTCCAATGTCAAAAAAAATAATTTTTTCATACGTCAAAGAGTTCTTTGGACATGAAGTAGCATTGAGCAACTTATTTTTCAATTTGTGCTGATTAATTGCTGATAATTTGGAAATGATTTCTCATTTTCACGATTGCTGATAAAAGGAACAAAATAAGCTATGAAGTCAACAAGAAATGAGTCACATTTGTTTTGTATTGCTTATTTATGTGTCCATTTAGGAATGGAACTTTGATATTCAAATCACAAAGATTTCGTCAGATTTATATTTTTTAAGGTCCAAAATATTTTTGTTTCAGGAAGTTTCTGGACGTGTTTTGATGTTTTTTTTGGCAACATTATGTGAAGCACGTGGCAAAAACTTCACACATGCCATTTCAAGGTTCAAACTTGTTTTCGAAAGTGATCAAAATATTTATAGTTTGCTACATTGTTGCATGCTGCATCGATATCATCAAGAACTCATCAAAAAATCAATTTATATGATTTGACCTAATTTTCTCAATGTTAATGGACATGAAAATAATATTTTTCAACTTCCTTAACATCATATAAATAACATGTTGAACAGGGAAGCGGGCAGAAAATATAGGTAAACATTGCTCGACTGAATGTCTAAAAATAAAAGTTTTTGGTGTGTTTATGAAATGAAAGGAAAAATGTGCTTTTCTAAAAATATTTTTAATTTGAATTTTTTTTTGAAATTTTATTCCGAAAACTATTTCTTTCATTCTCGTGTTGAATACTACTTAACAGCAATTAAGAGGATATCAGAAACTGTGGAAATATTTTGACTAGATTTTTAAGTTGTGGTTCAATTTGAACTAGATTTTTAAGTTTTGGAGTAGATTATTTCGAGATTGATAAGTTCTGGATCAATTCGGACTAGATTATTAAGTTTTGGGTCAATTTAGACTAGATTTTTTAAATTCTAGACAAGTTTGGACTGATTGTTGAGTTCTTGATTAATTTTGACTAGCTTGTTGAGTTTTCTGCCAATTTGAATTTGTATTCTTAAGTTCTGAATCAATTCAGGCTCGACTGTTAAGTTTTAGATCTGTTTGGACTAGATTGTTAAGTTATAGATCAATTTGAACTAGATTTTTATCTCTAACATCAATTTAGATTAGATTAATATATATTCGATAAATTTTTCTCTTGATTGTTAAGTTCTAGATCAAATTGTACTAGATTATCAAGTTTTATATAAATTTGCATCAGATTGTTAAGTTCTGGATCAATTTGGACTAGACTTGGACAAGTTTGGACTAGATTGTTAAGTTTTAAATAAATTTAGACTAGATTTATAAGTTCCAAACCTATTTTGACCAGATTGTCAAGTATTTTTGTCAGTGTAGTTTGAATAAAAGTTCATCACACAATTAATTCTGTCATTTATTTTTAAATATATTCACAAAATCATGTCAACAGACTGAGTGAGATGAAAGTGATGCAAGGTTTCATTAAAACTTCGTCAGACGCGCGATAATAGTATTTCGGTGATAATAACCTCACATTAAATTGTGTTAAATTAAAAAAAATAAAATATATTATTATGCGAAGTTTCCAAACTAGATTGAACTGGTTTCGTGAAATAAGTGTTTTTTTTTCTGAACAACTGATAGATTCCATTTGTGTTATTGATAAAGTTTTAAATACGCCATACGGTAATCAGAGAGGTTAATTACACTTTAAACTTGAGGTTTCTGCTACAGGGGTGGGAATGAAGGAGTTTAGGGTACACTCCTGATTCCTTAAGTATGTGTAGGTCCAAGTGGAGGTGTTGGAAAAATTGTTTATGTTTTTTTTTTATTTTTTCACATCAACCCTGACCAAAAATAGAACCAAACCGTGTAATGTAGCGTAAATTTTCTAAATGATGTGATAGCACTTATCTCAATAAGACTGTTTATCTTATCTTTCATATATTTACCACCGACTTTCAAGGATCTCAGTTCCTCTTCTTTCCCTTCGCTCTGCTGTTTACCAATGTTCAACTTTTTTGATATTTACCCGAGAGCTGCTCAACACAGCGAAATTACTTTGTACTTTGATACTACAGACAGACTTATGTAAAATGTAGTGTGTACACTAAGTTATTTTTTATGCTGTAATAAAAGTTAAGTATGTTTATGACTTTTTTTTTCGTACCGGTTTAAACTACTATGCCGAAAATAAATATAAATATAAATATCTAATGCTAGATGTCAACAATTCACGATTGCTTACATTTTGAGCGAAAAACAACTGTGGACGTATGTGTAATTTATTTAATGTTTTCTTACTTTACTTAACACACTTGCAAAAAATTTACTGATTCCATCACAGAAGCTGAAATCAGCAAGTTAAGCAATTTTTGTAATTGCACATTAATTGAGCGTTTTAGGAGAAATTGCAACTTTTTAAGTGTAATGAGACATTATGAAAAAATATTCAACATAAACAATTTTTTTCTAATGACAGAAGTGAAATTTGTTGTGGCTAGACAGTGATACAAGTTTTGGGTAAACACACGCAGCGATCACGCTTGTAGTTGATGACTTAATGATGAAATTTGAGACTAGACGAGCTAAATCCTTTCTTTTGATAAGTTACTAGCTACGAGCTTCAAATGCTTCTTGTTAAATCCATTAGAGAAGTTGTTACGTCTCATTGAATGCTAAAAAGCACAAAAAAGTCCAGAATGACAATCAACTCATCCCCATTTCCTCAAAATTCAAGCTCAAAAATACACACATCAATACTCAACAGAATTCTTTATGTAAATTTTGAAATCTTCTTCTTTTCTCTCTCCAATAGCTTGAAATAAAAATTATTCAATAAATCCAGTAGCATCGTACACCAAATAACCTTCAGTGTTGATAACTTACTTATTAAAATTGTTGTTGACTTCACAATTTTATTTTATTCAATCAATTTAAACACAAATTGACTTGAGCATATTATATATTAAATAAAAGCATCGCGTAAATTGTTGGAAATTTTTTTTTCACACTCTGTCTCGTGCTGATAAACTAGTACAGAGCGGCAATTTAATTTTGTTTTTAATGCGAAGGAGGTCAGATGCTTTAATGTATGATAAAAAAATGATGTCGATTAAAGTTTTTTGTCTGCTGTCGGTTTATGAGTAAGGAACAAAAAAATGTATGTTTGAGACTGAATTTGATGATTAAACTTAATTTGAGTCATTAAGCACGAGATTGATTAGAATGTGAGATTTGATGTAAAAATTCTTAAGAAAAATGTCGTCAGAATTGACTGAGATTACGAGATTTATGAGGGATTTTTGGGGGGGGGGGAGGGGGGGGGGTTGTTAAGGAAGCTCAAAAGATTATAGGATTGTCAAAAGATCATGCGGGCGTCCCAAGAACTCTTGGAAAGAAGCTGTTGACAGAGACAGTATTGCATTTAAGCTCAGAACCATTGGCGATGTGATTTGTTTTCAAATTCTCCACTGACATTGTATCTGGGTAGGCAGGGGATGGTTTATGGGAAGACTGTCCAACAGTGCAATTTTGAGCAGGATAGTCCCGCTTTTTGAACAAAGTCCCGACTAAAATCCTTAATGTCCCGCTTTATTGAACCCATATTTTTTGGAACATGCTTAAAAATTTGGTCAGTTCAGTTTTTCAGAGCTGAAATCAGAATATGTCCTTCTTTTTGATCAAAATCAGCAGAAAACTTAGTGTTTGATAATCGCTAAAATATTGATGATTTCTGAATTGTAGCGAGTTTTTAAGGATGTCAAACTCAATTCCAAAGCTGCCAAATTATTTGATTTCTGTCTCCATCCTTAAAAAACCGGCTTTATTCTTTAAAGAGCCTAAACAGGATTTAATGTCCATCCTTCTTCCTTAGTTTGTCTACTTGTCTCTTTACTTATTTCTTAAAGAGTCTATTAGCTTAACGTTGGTGTCATTCCCTTTTAAAAGGCAAGAAATGTAACAAACCTCCAGTTCTATCAAAAACACTAACCCGGCATCCTCAAATAAACAGCATGGCAAACAAAACTACTCAAATTGACTCAATATATTTGATTTCAAAGTTATAAAAAATCCACACCTCCAAACTGCCTAATTTGTCACTAAATCATTGATTCTTTTTTATCACAATCAATTCCCAAAATACCTCCTTTTTCATGCCCTTACAAACGACTTTATTATTAAGATAGCACACAAAAAAAAGCCTCTGCCGATCAAGCATGTTTTACTATTGCGTATTTGAAAATAAAGGAAAAGAGAAGTACAACAACAAAGTAAAAATTCCGTAAGAAGACATCGTGATTTACAAATTTTATGCCGGCTTCGAGTGGAAAATTTTGTATATTTTATTTTTCAGCAATTTTAAGCACACACAGTCAAGACTTCTTGTACAATTCTTTTCTCATATATTGGTCATGTACATTATTATCAGTTAATGAATAGAGAGTTTAGATAGTAAAGAAGTGAAATATTTAATATCAAAAAAAAAAAGATTTTATATACAAAAGATTCAAGGTCAACAAACACATCGCAAAAAAGAAGACCGTCCAGAAAACAATCTTCAAAAAAAAAACATTTGTTGTTTTCGGATAAGTCAATGTGTATATGACAGTCGTACATGTGGTGAATATAATCTTACTGCACTAACACATGCACACATACAAAAATGATTCTAACATTGGCTTCGTGTTCGTATTTATAGCGTTTCAAAGGCTAAAAACTGTTCAGTTTCTGTTCTGTTTGTAAGGAGATAAGTTCTCTTGTCAGATCGACGACGAAAATAAAGAATTATTTTTTTTTTGAAAAGAATTATTATTGTGTGTATATGTCAGATGAGAATTAATTGATCTTCATCCAGCAAGTCCTTTCGGAATAATAAAAAATAAATTTTTTATCACAAACAAAAAAAGAATTGAAAAATAAAAGTTGAGCAAGAAGAAGACAAATACAACAACAAATAAACTATTCAGCAAATCCGGAAAAACTTTTTAAAAAAAATTTCAATAATTTTTTGATAGCACATCCAACTGCGTAGGTGGAAAATAAAAGTTAATTTGTATGTGAAAAGTGTCTACGTGACAAAAAGAAAATAAAGTTCAGTTAAAATACATACAACAGAAGCGCATGAGATACCAAGAAAGTCGATAATAAATAGTCAAGCGACTCAAAGCTAAGCAAAATCATTTCTAGTCATACTGTGTGAAGTGTGTGCCTGAGGCAAATCAAGCAAACATAATTTAGAATACAAAATTTCTGTGAATTTAATTAAGTAACGATGTCAGCATCCCCAGTTGCACGTCAAGCGCATTCTCATGCCCAACTTATTCCGGCCATGAGAAAAGTTCTCATTAGTGATGCATCTCAAATGCCTGATGTGTACTCATCGACACCAAATGGAACAATTTATAGCACCACGCCAGGAGGTAAGAATCATCTTATATTGGATATAGTGTCAAGTGATTCACGTCTGAAATTGAGTAGTTTTGTGAAGAATCAAAAATAAGTTGAGTGCCGGAAAAAATATTTTTCTACACGTTTTTTAACTCCAAAATTTTTGTTTTTTAACCTCGAAAATATTTTTTTAAATTTTTTTATGAATCTTCAGACTTATTAAAATTATGAAATATTCACGATATCCTCAAAAAAGAAATTATTTTAATGGTGAAGTTACGAAAGAATAAAAGTAATGAAAAACCTCCACGTTGGAAGTTGTTTTGTCTCGTACGAAAGTCGAAAGAAGACAAAAAAAATTATTTACTTGTGGGCAGAAACATTCGAAGAAGTAGAAGAAGTGAAAATGTGAGTGAGAAGTTGAAAAGTCAATGTTTTTGTGGAATGTTAGGAGCGCATTTTTTTGGAATTTTTGTGCTTGTTGTTGTTTTGAGAGGAAGAGGACGATGACTTGTTGATTAGGTTGTTGTTTTCAATTCGTTTTAATGATTTTCTAAGATTTGAAAAAAAGGTTGAATTTTGAAAAATTTGAAAATTGAAATTCTTTTTTATAAATTACAAAACAACTAAAATTTTAAATTTTTTTAAAAACTCATTTTAAAATAAATGATTTAAATTTACCTTCTAGTAACATTTTATTTCCTTCAAAGTATTTTTAATCTACGGAAGGATAGCAAATGAAAATGAAATTGTGCTTAACGTGTTATTGAAAAAGTAAAATCAATCACGTTCATTGAATTATACAACCTTGACACAGAGCTATATTTTCTTTATTAGTTAAAAACATTCAGTCTCGATTGATTCTGCTGGTTGTTCTCGATATTGAACTCTAGAGACTATTCATTGTGTACGGAATTAATGACACTTGATGAGAAATATTTAGACATGCCTGGGTAAATTATTAAAATTTTAATGGAATTGACTATTGAAAACTAGACTTGACCAACCCTAAATGATGATTTCAAAATGATTTTTCATTTTTAAATCAATTGTTTCTTAAAACTTTAAGTTTGTGTCTATTTTAGTTCCTAATTTCAAACTTTATCATGCCATCAACTTTTCCTTAGCATCTAATTGCAAGCATCCACCTTTTTAAATAAGTTATTGAACTACTTAATTGAAAATAAGGTTGATAAAACTTAAAATGTGTAAAATGAAAGAATATAAAGTCGGTCTCATTGTAGTTCTTATAGTGACATCGACCTAGATCCCCATTCAGTAACATCTGTTCGACTATTACTCATTCAATTTCTCAGCTCAATTAGCAAAATACTGGAGAGAGTATTACTGAATAGAATCAACGATCATCTTGAGGATAACAACATCATCCCAAACCAGCAGTGCGGCTTCCGGACTGGAAGATCAACATCTCACCAGCTCATCAAAGTGATCAAATCAGCAAAAGAAAACTTAAACAACAAAAAGTCAACAGGCATGATCTTCCTGGATGTAGAAAAAGCATTTGACAGAGTCTGGCATAACGGACTCTTGTACAAAATGCTCAAACTGAGATTTCCACTGCCACTTATAAAAACTGTAAGATCTTTCCTCAGTGAAAGATCTTTCGCAGTTTTTATTAAAGGTCAGTTCTCAGAAATCAAGGTAATCAAATTCGGAGTGCCACAAGGAGCAGTGCTTTCACCAACTCTCTACAACATCTTCACGTATGATGTTGTAAGAGAGACAACCAACAACATCGGTCTTTTCGCAGATGATACAGCACTGTATCATTCTGCAGAGAACTCGGCCGATATTGTGACACATCTACAGCACACAGGAAGAAAAGTTCAACAATACATGAACAAATGGAAGATCAACCTCAACAAACAGAAGACTCAAGCCTTATTCATCACAAACAGGCACTCCAGGCAACTACCAGGAAATAACATCAAATTTCTCAACGAAAACATCAAATGGGAAACAGAAGCTAAATATCTGGGAATGGTGATCGACAAGAGAGTGACATTAAAGCCGCATGTGGAGTATGTGACCAATAGGGCTCACACCGCATTAAGACAGCTTTATCCGCTCATCAGCAGGAACTCACAACTCGACGTACGAAACAAACTTCTCATCTACAAGCTAGCCATCAGACCAATATTCACATATGGTTGTCCAGCGTTTGGAAGCATGGCAAAAACCCATCTTCAAAAACTTCAAGTACTGCAAAACAAATTCTTGAGAATTGTTCTCAATAAAACAAGATATGAAAGGATCACCGATCTTCATACAGAAGCGAAAATACCGTCCATCGAAGACTACGTCGGAAAGTTGCAAGCGAACTTCAACAGTCGTCTTGCATCTCAAAACACCGAATAAATCAAATGAAATACAAAAGAAAGTAAAATCCGTAAATGAAATCAAAATTAAGAGACAAAAGGCAAATTGAATGCCTGAAACCTTAAAACAAAAAGCAACAAAATGTATAGAAACTTTGTACATACTTAAATTTAAATGTAAATAAATAAAAAGTTTAATTTAAAAAAAAAAAAAAACTCATTCAATTTGCATTTAACTTATTTTTAACTCTTTATATTCATGGTCTAAGTGATGAGCTTATGTACTCAATTTTTCAATAATCTAAGCTTCTTAAAATAACAAAAATCCGGCAAAAACTGATTAAAATTCTTCCATTAAATAAGATAAAACAATTCAATACGTAACAAAGTGTGAAAATCAGCTTTGTCTACGCATTCATTGCCTTTTGTTATTCAATTAACAGCATTGTTGCTATCCAGACACAAAGAATAATTTTTTATACTCTCAATACCACGATAAGATTTTTTTAAACATGCAATAAAGCACATATTTATGAATTTTAAATGATTTCATTGTTCCGAGACCCCACGCATCAATTTGTTTTTTTTTGATTAAATTAAACTAGTTCGATGTCATTAATGCTCGTGACTACATTTGTTGTTTATGAATTAATCTCGATTGTCGATGAGGTTGTTTATTTAAAATTTGCATGATTAAGCAATCAAATGAGGGAGATCGAATAGGATTGAGGTGGGATAGCTAATCATCACATGTGAGGGGGTTGTTGGGGGGTGTCGAGGTGATTTGATTCTTGTTTTTGCTAAAACTTTAATTAAAGATTGACTTTAATTAAATCATAATATTCCACATAATTAAAAAATCAGTTACAACCAGTAAAAATCACTAACCCAAACTCCATCATAACCCCCAAACAAAAGCCACCCAACCTGAAAATAAGAAAGCACATTTTTCCTATCAAAAATCATCCAACACTAAATAAATAACAAAAAAAGTGTTTAAAAAAATTGAGTTCAGCGATAAAGTAAAAATAAAAAAAATCGAAAATTTCGAGAATGACTGTGTGTTATTTTCCTCAGACTGCCTCGGTGTGCGTATATATAACATAAATTTTATTTTTATTATCGCAATTTTTGAGCGTTGAACACAAGTTGAATGGTTTTTGAAGAGCTTGATGTGATGAGTGAAGTCTTGTGTTGGGAATATTGAAGAGATTGGTATGAAAATTGGGGGTATAGGAGGCAAAGGGTGTCCTTAGAAGGGGTTTTTATTCAAATTTGACCTGAATTCATAAACAAAAACCATAATGAGCCACCTGATCAATCAACAAGCCAGCAACAAGAAAAATTTGATTAGATTTTTTTCCTGCCTTTTCACGACCTTCCTCGGAAAAATTATCGCGTGAGTTCATCGACCCAAATTGTTTATTGTACATAAAGAAAATAATATAATGTCTTCCTCACTCTCCCATGCCTCGCACTATACTCTGAAAGTTCATTTGCACTTTAATTGAGTCGATACTTGTCTTCTACTTATTATTGGTTCTTACACGAACAGACGTTGTAATGCACATATTTCTTTATTTTTATGACAAACTGTGGTCATTCACATTATTTAATTGTATCTATTTTTTATGTTCTTTCAGGTACAAAGATTGTGTACGAGCGCACGTTCCTCATGAACTTAAGAAACTCACCATTGAGTCAAACACCACCAAAAAATCTTCCCTGCCATCTTAGTAAGGATGATCATAGTGCGTTTCATCATCACAATCATCAAAATCAATTGAATGGAACTTACCATCCACCACAACCACATAAGACCCAAAATCCACATCCTCATCCACATCATGCAAGCAATAATCATCCACATCCATTACATCAAAATAGTAACAGCAAGGATAAAAGCAATGGATGGAGTAAAGTGCGTAAATCATCAACGGAACTTGATGACCATCAATTTGATATGGATATTTAAGATTGTCCATTGATATGTCTTCAGAAAAAAAAATTAATAATATTTTATTAGTATCTATGCGATTACACATTATTAATGAAAAAAAAAAAAAATTCAGTGAAAAAAATTATTGAAAAAATGATATAATAATAAGATTTAATTAATTTTTAATAATTGATGTGGGAATTTGGGGGTAATTAGGCTGAATGAGGGGGGTTTGATGGACGTTGAGAGATTAATTTTGATTTTTTTGGTTTTTATTGATGAAAGATTAAGCCAATCTAGGATATTTTTGTGGTTTCTTTTTGAATTATTTTATAAAGATCTAAAAAGCTTTCAGAAAACTTCAAAAAAGCTATTAAAAATTTCAAAAAAACTTTCAAAAAAATCAAAAAGCTTTCAAAAAATACAAAAAGCTTTCAAAAAATTAAAAAAGTTTTCAAATAATTCAAAAAGCTTTCAAAAAAATCAAAAAGCTTTCAAAAAATTAAAAAGCTTTCAAAAATATAATAAGTTAAAAAAAATTGAAATAAACTTGAAAAACTCCAAAACATCTCTCAACAGCCACACGACACCCTCTCATCACCTTATCACACCCATTTCTGCTTTTTGTCGCATTAAGAAAATCGAGGAAATTTTCTTCAATTTTTTATATAAAAAAAAAATTCTCTCCTTTTTGTTGGATGACGATGCTTTAGGATGATAATAAATTTTAAATATTAATGAATTTTTACGTTTAATAAATTAAAGAAAAAGCAACAAAACTGAAAGTAGAAATACAACAAAAAAATCGTGTTTTGAAGATATTCTAAATTAGAATACTTTCTATTAAAAAATTATAATTTTCCCTTGGAAAGAAATTTTTTGTTATTATTTTAAGTTTGAAATTTTTTCAGGTTATGTTTTTGAGAACTTTAAAATTTTATTTTTTTTTCAGAATTTTCAATTTTTTGTTTTCAATTTTAAAACATGATGGAATGGACCTTCTTAGAACTTCTCATTGATTAGGTTCATTATACAGACATCCATAATTAGAGATGGAAAATTGAAAAAGGTTGGCTTAAAATAAACCAAGATTAAGGTTTTAAACATCTACGATAGCTTAAAGCTACCTCAATTTCAAAAGCAATTTGACACAAATTAAAAATGTCTAATTATTGCTAAGGAAATTGTTCGTGATTCAGTTCATTTTTATGGACTCAATGAATCGCTAGTTTCACTTTTAATGAATTGACTAATGAATTCGTTCTTATTGTTTTCTTCATTTTGATTTTTAAAAGTTTTCTTTTTGATTTTTTTTGAAATATTTTTTAAATTAAATAATAAAAGTTGAAAAAAAGAATCTTAATGTTGCACACCCGAAATAAATAAAATTCGAATAATTTATAGATAAAATAATAATAATTGCAACTTTTAAACTCGCTAAATTAAAAATCGTAAACTTTTGATGAAGAAAATTATTTTGAGGCTTTTTTTGAAAGATTTGAGCTGCTTAAAAAGCTTCAATTTTTGATGAGTAAAGTAATATTTTAAAAAAAGTCTGTAAGTTGCATCCCTATTCCTTCTTGTATGACACTTACAAGACAACAGCAGCACACCTCCATACCCAGCCAAAAAAAGGAGAAAAATTCTCAAATATCTGGGTCATTTATCGATTTTATATTCAAAAGAAGTTACATTATTCCAAAAAGACATTGATCTAATGGGAGCAAGGCTGCTTTGACTCCTGACTGCTTGCAATATAGAAACTCTAAGTGGTATTAATTTACTCGAAGGACTTGTCCTTCTACATCCATTAAATGTTGTCAGAAAAAGCAACAAAGAAATTTTTTCCTTCACAAAATCTGCAAAACAAAGCTTTTTTCTAATCCAAGAATTTCTTTTGTGATATTTTTTTTTAATTTCAATGATAATCATTAAAGTAATTAAAATACGAAGAAAGTAAAATATTAATAATGTAATTTTAAATAATCTACAATTCGCGAATATAAAATTAAACTTAAACTCTGCCATTAGCTTTAACATCTTTGCTAGATGAATGTTAAACTTGTTTTGTAGTTGAAGTTATATTTGTAAAAAAATGAAAATTTTTTGAGTTTTTTGAATTAAATTTTTAATAATTTCAATATTCTCAAATAATTCAACTTAAAATTTACAATTTTAATTCAAATAAAATCAAATTAAACCATTGCGAATCTTAATTCAAGTGAAATAATCCAAATAATTTTTTTTGTACGAATTCTGAATGATTATGTGTTGAAAAATAAATAAAAATTCATAAAAAACTTAATTTTTCATCCACAACATTCCTTCCAGGTATAACAGCTTTTTTCAACACATCTGTCTTTAGTGCTTTATGACTCAAGGTATTTTTAATTGCAGTTTTAAATTGTGAGTGACTCAAGGTGAGTGAAATAAAATGAGGAAAAGAAATTATGGAAAATATCAAGGAAGTCACAACTGAGTAATTCATATTGAAAATGTCGTAAAAACATTTTCATGCAGTTTCAAGCTTGTCGATTAAATATATTTTCAATAACTCAAAATTTTGCCGACATATTGTACATCATTGGAAAGGTATTTATTTGATCTTTAAAAATATGTTAATTAAATTAATTTTAAACCGGTTTTATCGGTTAATTTACCGGTTCAAACTTAGTAAGAAAATTAAAAAAAGTAAATTGGAATAACTTTTACAGTTTTCAACCATTTTCAATGATTCTTTTTTTGGCTGAAAGCCTATATATTTGCAGTTAGCTTTAACATTAATTAAATTTTTTCCAATGTATGGAACATCATTTTTTGCGGCCCCCAAGTTTTTGACTAAAGTAGCTCTTATTTGAAAACGATAATAGATATTGATTTCAAATTTTTTGCATGTTACTTGTATTTTTATTTCCTTTGTAACAACATACAATAATATGGGGTTCATTCATAAATTTTGACCAAAATTTACTAAAACAGCTCTCATTTGAAAACGATAATAGATATTGATTTCAAACTTTTTGCATGTTACTTGTATTTTTATTTCCTTTGTAACAACATACAATAATATGGGGTTCATTCATAAATTTTGACCAAAATTTACTAAAACAGCTCTCATTTGAAAACGATAATAGATATTGATTTCAAACTTTTTGCATATTAATTGTTTTTTTATTACCTTTCCAACGACATACAATAACATGGGGTTCATCCATAAATTTTGACCAAAATTTACTAAAACAAAATTTTCATACGAATTTTTCAAATTTTTTTCTTTGATTTTTAATAGAAATACAGGAATAATAAAACGAAAAACTTTTTAATACTTAAATTTTGAGATTTATTTAATTTTATAATAATATACAAATTAAATTTATTTAAATTTAAATTTAATTTATATAATATCCTAACGAACGTCGTATTACAGCTGCAAAAAAGAAAGATCTTCTTGATCTACTTCCTTATATACCGCTTGAATATTACAACTTTTATGAAAATTTGGGGTCTTTAGACAATGATGAAGAATAATTTTTTAAACTTTCTTATTTTTACTATCTTTTTAATAATAAATCTCAAAATTTAAGTATTAAAAAGTTTTTCGTTTTATTATTCCTGTATTTCTATTAAAAATCAAAGAAAAAAATTTGAAAAATTCGTATGAAAATTTTGTTTTAGTAAATTTTGGTCAAAATTTATGGATGAACCCCATGTTATTGTATGTCGTTGGAAAGGTAATAAAAAAACAATTAATATGCAAAAAGTTTGAAATCAATATCTATTATCGTTTTCAAATGAGAGCTGTTTTAGTAAATTTTGGTCAAAATTTATGGATGAACCCCATGTTATTGTATGTCGTTGGAAAGGTAATAAAAAAACAATTAATATGCAAAAAGTTTGAAATCAATATCTATTATCGTTTTCAAATGAGAGCTGTTTTAGTAAATTTTGGTCAAAATTTATGAATGAACCCCATATTATTGTATGTTGTTACAAAGGAAATAAAAATACAAGTAACATGCAAAAAGTTTGAAATCAATATCTATTATCGTTTTCAAATGAGAGCTGTTTTAGTAAATTTTGGTCAAAATTTATGAATGAACCCCATATTATTGTATGTTGTTACAAAGGAAATAAAAATACAAGTAACATGCAAAAAATTTGAAATCAATATCTATTATCGTTTTCAAATAAGAGCTACTTTAGTCAAAAACTTGGGGGCCGCAAAAAATGATGTTCCATACATTGGAAAAAATTTAATTAATGTTAAAGCTAACTGCAAATATATAGGCTTTCAGCCAAAAAAAGAATCATTGAAAATGGTTGAAAACTGTAAAAGTTATTCCAATTTACTTTTTTTAATTTTCTTACTAAGTTTGAACCGGTAAATTAACCGATAAAACCGGTTTAAAATTAATTTAATTAACATATTTTTAAAGATCAAATAAATACCTTTCCAATGATGTACAATATGTCGGCAAAATTTTGAGTTATTGAAAATATATTTAATCGACAAGCTTGAAACTGCATGAAAATGTTTTTACGACATTTTCAATATGAATTACTCCTATTTCTGCAGTAAATTTCAAAGTAGCTGAAGTTGATAATTAAAAACTTCTAAAAAAGGAAATGTTTAAAGTTTGATTATGATTTAATTGAAAATTAATCTGTGATTGTAGGAAATTGTTCCAGCTTTTTATGTTTAATAAACATCTTGTTGACCTAATATTACAAATTTAATATCAAAATATTTTGTAAACTGACCTTACTCAATGCTAAATCGGTAAAAATGATCAACAAAAGTGTTTTGATGCAAATTATTGACATAAATTTATTTTAGTTTGAGAAGGTTAACTCAAAATGTTTGTTTAACCTAAGCTGGTCAGCTGAGGAGTTAATCCAAGGGTGTAGACAAGAGGAGAGGGCAAGGATCTAAAATATACATCTAATCGGAAAATTCTTTCAATTCCCTTAGAACAAAGAGGTAGAAGTCCTTAACTCTGACGATTTCTAGCTCTAAATCCACTTCTCTTAATCAAAAACTTAAAATTTTAATTTTTTCCGAGAGAAAATCTTTTTTATTTGCCCATTTCCAATAATAATTTTTGTGCATCAACAATAATTCATTCATAAATACTAAAAAGATAATTCACAACCATCACCGAATTGAAGCTAATACTCTATCAATATGATTCAACTAATACCCGTATCAAAAAACTAAAATATTTCAATTTAGACTCTTAAATTCAACCCCACTGCCATCAACAATGTCTGTTGTCATGATTTGATAATTATATGCTGTCAGTTCCTCGCATAATTTCCCATAATTTTCCAATGACTCATAATTCGGTGGAAGTAGAACAAAACAGCACCCACCACCACCAGCTCCTGTTAATTTGGCTTTAAAATCGAATGAGTCAGCAATATGAAAAACTTTTTCAAGTCGTGGATGTGACACGCCAATAGAACGTAATAAGTTGTTGTTTACGGACACGAGTAGGCTTAGTTCCTGATATTTTTCATCACATTCCTTTGTACTTTCGAACAGCGTTACGACATCGTTGACCAAATGTCCCATAGCATCAAAAATTGAATTCGAAACGTTCGAATATTTGTTCCTGAAATTTGCGACCTTACCAACAATGTGACTCGTACTGCGCGATACTTTCGTGTCAACTAATAGAATGTCAATTTTACCGTTCATTTTAATCGGTTGAGGTGTTTGACCGCGAATGAATTTGATAAGTTGACCATAAGTACAGATCGTGTTATCGATCCCTGATGGCTTCTCATGCATTATGACTTCAGAATCGAATGCCCATTGTGAGATTTGTTCGAGTATTGTGTGATTTCCATCGAAACTGAATTCTGAGAATTTTTTGTCATCCAATTTCCCGTTGAGTATTTGTGAGAGGATGAAGAAGCCAGCCGACAGACAGACACCATAACTTGCAGAACTTCCAACACCAGCACCAATGCTTATGTCAGAATCAACTTTAACGCTGAAAGAATTTTTGATTGTCTTGACTTTTTCATGACGTAGAATCCTGTTGAGGATGTAAAGAGTTGATCCTATTGCCATTTCCTCCTTATTGTCTAAATGTTTATCTCCAAATTCTACAAATTTCAGTATAAAATCCTTACATCCTCTAAATTTCTGTAGGAAATCCATTGGCTGAACAGAGTCACAGCAATCAAGTTCAGACAATAGTGAATTAGCATTTTTGAGGCTCATGCGGCAGTTTAGATCTAGTCGTACATAATTAAATTCGATAAATTCTTCGGCTGTCTCCTCAAAGTTAAAATAAGTTCTTAATCCAATTGGTCCAGCGATTGCAGGCTTATTGTAGACAACGGAATGTTCTCCATGGAGAATTATCTTCCCAGGAGCTGAGACTTGGAAATTTTGGGGCATTTTTGATGATGTTAAGGAATTAGTTGACTGGATTCGATGTAAATTTGATTAGGTAAGCAATTCTTGTGATGATTCTGATTTTTATTTCTAGTAATTGAATGTTTAATAGGACCTTGAGTTCAAACAAAAAAGATTTCCTTTCTTTCTTCTTATTTTAATGTGAAAAAAAGGATTATTAAGTTTTACTGTTCCGCTGCCCACTGTTCAGGAGTAAAGGTCTTTTGAGAAAATGCGTGGATTGTCTTAAGTTCTTCTTGAAGTGCTGAATTGACCAAACGATGTCGCTGAAGTAATGCTTTTCCAGCAAATTGTTCAGACACTATCACAGCAGCAAACTTTCCACCGCAACCGTCACTTTGGTCTATTACTTCCTAAAATGATAAAATAGAATAATGGAAAATTTAATTTTTAATTTTAATGAATTAGGATTTGAAAGAAAAGAAGGAATTTCCAACACCAAGATTATTATAGAAGTTTTAAGGATGAGTTTCATGGAAAACAGACAGTTTTAAAAGATGTCAAGCTGATTTGGAACTTTCTAGCTACCAGGTCTAGAAGCTAGTCATGAAATAAAGCTAAATTAATCTAGCTCATCCCTAAATTCATCAATTTATTGCAAATCCAACCGTAAAATTGCATCACGAAAATCAAAAACTAGAAACTTTTCCATTCTTGTGTCATAAAAAAACAAAAAAAGCCATAAATATTTGAAATATAAAAATAACAACTTAATAAAACTGTTTATTTGTCATGCAGTCAACAAAACAATTTGATAAAAATGTGCAGCAGGAAAAAATAGAACAGCGAGATAAAAAAAACTTAAACTTAGTCATTTAAATAACAAATGCAACAAAGTAGTTTGTTATCAAGCAATAAATTATAGGAAGAAACACTTATTGAGATTAAAAAGCTGATGGCATAAAGTATCGGATATATTAAATGCAGGGAAATTGCGAATTTGGATTTAATTAATTGATTAATTAAGGTTTAGTAGAATAACTTAAATAACGCTAAGTTACCAAGCTAATGTTGATGTATTGATGAAGTTGACTTAATCCTTAACAAATTCAAACCAAACCACATTCCTGGAAAATCCACAAAAGATCACAAAACTCGTAAAATACCAAACAAATATTTTCATTTCTATCTCTCATATCCGAAAGATCGCGACCTATAAAATTTAAATATTTGTTTATCCAGCTCGACTTACGTCAGAAAATCTCGAAAAAAAATATATTTTCATAAAATTATTCCACGATCATCATCGATCATTGGCTTAAATTTATTCATGAACAACAAAAATCACGACTTAATTTTGATAGCCTATTTATCGATGTAGATTGTGGTGATAAATCATTCAAGCTGTCAATTTAATGAATGAGTTTTAATTGCTGTTATAAATCTTAGAGAATTGCTTGACTGTTGTGACTGATTTTAATATTATTTTGTGACAGAATCTTTAAAATTGTCGATTAATTTAATTAATATTATAAACAGCTACTTGAAATATTAATATTGATGATAATGTTGGGTTTTATAGGTTTGATAATTGGCCCTAATAGGCAAAGAGCATGCTCACAAATTTGAGCACATGCAAGAGCATACTCAATTATAGAAATTTATGTGCTCAAATGAACATACTCTCATGAGTACATAATGAGTACAAAAACGTAGTATACTCAGTTGAGTACATTCATTGAGTACGCTCTCTTACATACTCTAAGTACAACAACATGATACAAAAAATTTTCTTTATGTGCTCTCTTGAGTATACTTATTGAGTATGTCCTCTCTCACATTGTGAGTATGACAAATGTGAGTGTAATTTCAAAGACAGTATACTCTCGTCAGTATACTCTTCAAGTGTACTCAAGAGCATATTCAGAGCATATCTTTCTGATAATTCACATTTAAATACATTATGCTCATCTGAGTACACTTTCTGAGTGCACTCTCAAATGTACTCTGAGCACGTCTTTGTAATAAGTTTATGTAAGAAACATTGTGCTCATCTGAGTACACTTTCTGAGTGCACTCTCAAATGTACTCTGAGCACGTCTTTGTAATAAGTTTATGTAAGAAACATTGTGCTCATCTGAGTACACTTTCTGAGTGCACTCTCAAATGTACTCTGAGCACGTCTTTGTAATAAGTTTATGTAAGAAACATTGTGCTCATCTGAGTACACTTTCTGAGTGCACTCTCAAATGTACTCTGAGCACGTCTTTGTAATAAGTTTATGTAAGAAACATTGTGCTCATCTGAGTACACTTTCTGAGTGCACTCTCAAATGTACTCTGAGCACGTCTTTGTAATAAGTTTATGTAAGAAACATTGTGCTCATCTGAGTACACTTTCTGAGTGCACTCTCAAATGTACTCTGAGCACGTCTTTGTAATAAGTTTATGTAAGAAACATTGTGCTCATCTGAGTACACTTTCTGAGTGCACTCTCAAATGTACTCTGAGCACGTCTTTGTAATAAGTTTATGTAAGAAACATTGTGCTCATCTGAGTACACTTTCTGAGTGCACTCTCAAATGTACTCTGAGCACGTCTTTGTAATAAGTTTATGTAAGAAACATTGTGCTCATCTGAGTACACTTTCTGAGTGCACTCTCAAATGTACTCTGAGCACGTCTTTGTAATAAGTTTATGTAAGAAACAGTATGCTCATCTGAGTACACTTTCTGAGTGCACTCTCAAATATACTCTAAGCACGTCTTTTTTACATGTCACATCCAATTGGATTATACTTAAATTCTCACACTTAACAAATATTTACTTACAAGAATCTCTAGGTTTAATTTAAAAAAAAAGTTTATAAATATCAGTTTGAAATCGTTTGTATGCTTCAGCACTGTATTTTTGTATTGGAAAAAAAATTGTCGAAAAATGAAATTTTTGCAATACTTCCTTCCGATGCAGTTTATGACCAAAACTTTGATTGAAACTGATGAGAATCATGATTTAAAACCTTTTGACATCTAAAAATTTTTACTTGGATGCTTCAGTTCCTTTAATTTTGACTTTTTCAATTTCGTTTGTGGAGTACTTGGAAATTTCATTACAGTAAACATTTTTGGGTTTTCACGTTTGAATTTATTGGTTTTGTTCAGATTAAAAAATCAGTTTTTTGAATTTTGTGAGGATATGGAACAAGGTAGCTTAAAATGGTCAGAGATGAAAAGTTTTATGCCTGGAATTTCACATCTTTTGCAAAACACAGATTTCAAATTGATTGCGACATTGCTGAGAAAATCGCAAAATACGCTTTCTGTAAGCAAACAAGCCAGCAAGTTAATCAGCAAGAAACGAGACATCGTAGAGACTTCTAGTTTTTTATATTTGATTCGTGCTGCTCTATAGAAGAGCTGCATTGTTTTTAGGCAAGGTAGAAACAGCCGTTGCTTCAGAAAAAGCAAAAAACTTTCCTTTCTTACGAATTTTTCAAAACAAAAGTTCACTATGATTTTTATAAAATTAAACTTTTGATGAAAAAAAAAATTTTAAAAATCTTTCAAAGAATGTTCGTTTAGCTTTAAACCTTCAAACATATGCTGAGCGAAGCTCAGCTGACGCGCTAGCTTTATGCCTTTAAACTTATGGATAACTTGGGTTTCTACCCGATACACTAGTTCTTAGCAATTTTTGCTCCTTAGAATCCAAAATGCCATCGGTTTCACATTAAGAAACAATCAATTAACCTCTATGCCAAATCACAACTTATAATCTCAAAAAAGTTCAAAGTTATAGCTAAAATAAATTATACATAGGTTTCCAACCCTTAGAATCCAAAATGGCATCGGTTATATATTCAGGTTATATACCACTTAACCTACATGCCAAATTTCAGATTAAAAGTTTAAAAGATACAAAAGTTATGGCAAAAAAATAATTTGGTATGAAAAATGTATGGAAAAAAGTGAATAACTCCGTGAAAAGCTCGGAAAACGCGTGGAAAAATATGAAAATGGAAAAATTTATCATAAAACATCATGATCTATCAAAAAAGTGTAAAAAGAATGAAAAAAAAGTTACTCACGGTGAGGCCTGAACCCGTGACCAATGAGTTGTGAGAAAATTCACTTTTTTAAGGGCTACGTAAAAATACGTATGTAAAACGTAAGGTAAAATTTCAGAAAAAGTTAATTTAATTAACCTTCCTTTCAGACGGACGGACAAAACGCAAGCAATAGCGTCATTTAAATTTTAAAATTTAAAATCAAAGTTAAATGTGTTATTTGCCAAAAATTTTACTTAAGATAACACAACTCGGTGGAGTAGAGGTAGCAACGCAGAATTTATCTAAGAACACAGCGGTCAGAAGTTCGAATCCCGGTAAGATTTATAAAATTTTCATTAAGCATTTCTTCTTTCTTTCTTTCTTTCATAGCTTTGAAAATTAAACAGCATAATAAAAAAAAGTACACATTAATTATGCAAAATAATAATAAAAAAAAGTTTCAAAAAATAATAATTTTTATTTATTACGTCCTTTAAAGTATACTCAAAGTATACTCTTTTGAGTACATCAATAGTCAGATTAAGATGTACTTTTATGAGTATATTAAAAGTATGTCAAACTAAGTATGCTCATTTGAGCATATGTTTTATGTGCTTAATTGAGCATAAAGTGTGTCACATGTGACATGACACATAAAAAAATGTTTTATTTCAAGAGTGTGCTCAAAGTATAACTGAGTGAGTATGCTCTGGTGAGTACACTTTTAGGCGTAAAGTAGTGGCACAAACTTTTGTATGAAAGAGCATACTTTTTAGAGTACACTCAGGAAAAATTAGAGTGTGCTCTTTCTGTGCTCTTTGCCAATTAGGGTGGTCAGTAACTTGTTACGTCTAATGAGACATCTAGAGCTGTGTGAGATTGCTTCTTAGCTGCTAGAGCTAGAAGCTTGTCACAAAACAATGCTAGAAGCTAAGTTTACCAATTTATTGCAATTTCAAGATTCTGATGAATCCAAATTGAGATCTGAAGTTAGTGTTTATGTTTCAAAAACTTTAATCTGATTACTTTCTGATTCCTTCGTGATACTTTGACTTTAATATCGATTTTTATTGTGGTTGAAGACTTTTTTTTTGGATTGCCAAAAGCAAACTTGTTCAGATGTAAATTCTAAGTTGTTGGATGATCTAATCTTGAATGACGTAAGCCCTTCAACGTTTTTTTGGACAAAATAACCAAAAGTTCGTGTGACAAAATTCAGATTTGGTTCTTGAAATGTTGTTAATCATTTCAAATGGTTGAAACTTAAGATACAATTTAATAATATCGTTGTTTTGTATGATAAATGAGAGTTTACATTTAATTTTCAGTAAGAGAACGTTCAACTTATCCAGACAATCCAGATGCTCAAAACAGACATTGGCTTTCAAACTTGTCAACTCATTCAATCGATAATGAATGAAAAGGATGAATAAAGTTAAAGTTAATCTTTCAAATGAGTCAAAAATTCTTCAAACAGTGTGACACACTAAGTTTCAGATGCTTATATTTCACTATTAGTCATTTGGACCATTCCGGAATGTTTACAAAATCTTTATAAAATTTCAACTCAAAAATCCATACCGGAACATTCAACAGCTTCTCATTTTATCCATAAACACACAACAAATTCAATAGATTTAACTGTCAAACAATTAAGTCAATAAATCCAAGATAAAACTTATCACAAATTTTTTACGAAAGCGGAATTCCTCAACAATAAAAAATTTCTTCTTTTTTTGGCACAAAAACAATTTCTTTTGTAATAAATTTCAACTTACGACATGTGTGCAGTTAAGTTTTTCGGTTAATTTGTTCTTCAAATATTCTTCTGTGTATTGTGACATTTTTAGTGAATTAAAAAATTAGTAGGAAACTGTTTAGACAGGAAAAATTATAAAAATGTTTATAAAATAAATCAAAATTTCACCTTTCTTTGGGCTTGAAGTAGGAAAAAGTAGTTTGCATTCCCCTCGGATTAGAGTGTGAAAGTTTTGTTTTGAATTTTTGCAAGGGCAATGTTTTGGTTTGTCAAGTTTGTGAGGGGAATTTTGAAGGAAAAAAGTTTTAGGGATTCTTTAGGATTGAATCTTCAAATTTCTGAGAGGTTTAAATTTTTAAGTTTCTGAGAATATTGAATTTTAAAGTTTCTGAGAGGATTGAATTTAAAATTTCAGAGAGGATTAAATTTTTAAGTTTCTGAGAGGATTAAATTTTTAAGTTTCTGAGAGGATTGAATTTTTAAGTTTAAGAAAAGATTGAATCTAAAATTTCCGAGGGTATTAAATTTTTAAGTTTCTGAGAGGATTGAATTTTTAAGTTTCTGAGAGGATTTCACTTTTAAGTTTCTGAGAGGGTTGAATTTTTAAGTTTCTGAGAGGATTGAATTTCGGAAATTCTGAGAGGATTGAATTTTTGAGATTCTGAAAGGATTAAATTTTTAAGTTTCTGAAAGGATTGAATCTTAAATTTCCGAGGTGATTGAATTTTTAAAATTTCTGAAAGGATTGAATTTTTGAGATTATGTGAGGATTGAATTTTTAAGTTTCTGAGAGGATTGAATCTGAAATTTCCGAGATGATTGAATCTTAAAAATTTTCAAGAAAAAATTGTAAATTTAAAAAAATCAAAAAGGTTAAAATTATCTATTATTATTATATCAATAAGTCACAAAATAAAAATTCATATAGTCTCAAATAGAAACCTTCTAGAACAAATGCTTAAAATCAAAGTGACAAAATGTTACGGAATTTCACAAATCTAAACTTATATTCTATTTGAACTTCTGCACCAAACAGTGCCCTAAAGCAAAAAATGAGTTAAAAAATCTCATAGTTACTAGGATTGATGAGATTACGACGCATTTTTAGAGCCACGAATGAAATTTCATGTAATTTTGCTCAAAAAAATTGAATTTTAATTTTATTATTTAATATATTGAATTAAAAACGTTCAAAATATTCAAGTAGTCAAGCTTTAAAGCAATTTACCAACATCCAACAAGTCAACCGACAACAACAACACAAAGCCAGACAATCTGACCACAATAAGCCACACCATTCCTCAGTTATTTACAAAAAAATAATTTTCAAGTCTAACAAATCACAAAAAAATCATAAGACACGGAAATCCAAGGATTAATCAAGTGAAAAGTGAAGAAAAATGCAAAAAATCCATCAAGTGAATGAAAATTATTGAAAAAAATCTCAAAATTCTCACCAAAAAAATAATCCACGACTGAAAAAGTGAAAAAGAAAAATTTCTTCTCGAAGAAAAAAAAGTTGAAAATAAAAAAGTTTTTAAAATTCGTAAATATTTTTAAATTGAAGGTGAATTAAAGTGAAAAAATTGCAAGTTTGCATTCAAATGAGTGCATAAAGCTCCACTCGTAATTAAATTCGGTGAGTGCATCAAAAATTACGCATTTTTAAATTTTTTTCTTCGCAATTAGAAATGAAAATGAAAAAAATATTTTTCACTGTACTTGAGACATAAAAGCATAAATTAAATCGAGTAAATTATTTTAAGACCTTTTCTTTCATGTTATGCAATTTTGTGCATATTGTCTGCATTCATAGTTTCCAAAGCAACAACAAAAGATAAGATTATTGATTTTTTTTTTGTTAAAATATTCGACACTGCAGAAAGTCGGATGCAGAACGTTGCAAGAATCTATTTCGTTGTATTTGTTTATTGATACGAGTTCCTTTATTCCTGAATTATTATTTTTGTTTATTTTCTTCACAAGTTTTAAAGTTCATGTAGCAACGAATTGTGTAAATACAGACATATGAAGACAAAAAACAGGAACAAGTGAGAAAAGAGAAAAAAAAACTACAAACGAAAGTGATAGCAAAATAATTTTTTTACGTTTGTATTCACGAATATTTGTGGAATATTTTAGGATTATTTGTAAGAACAAAAAATGAATCGTGCGAAATTCCTTTTTTATTTTTAAAAATTTTCAAAAATTTGCAAAAAAATATATTATTCTGAAAATGAATTAATTCAAGCTTTTCAAGGCTGGTTTTGTTCATTTCATTTCCTTATTTCTATTGTGATGGATAAATCGGATATGCATCTGGTTTTTGTTTTGCTCTGAAGTTACATCCGGGAGTATGGTTATGTGATAATAGATTTTTGTACTTGTGGATTAAAACTATTATTTTATAAGCTAGCTAGTATGTAGAGTTCTCTGGAACTTCAAATTTCATTATCTTATCTATTATCTATATTTATTGGGAACTAGTCGTCCATGATAACCACCAAGTTGGTTCTGAAATGTTTCTTTGCTGTTCATTGAGCTTTCAGCTAATCTGAGCAATGTCTGAAGAAGCAACAAGGTTCAGAATGACAAGATGGAGACAAGGTGTTGAGTTTGAATCAAAATTTAATTATCTTCATTACTTAAAGTGTCCATAGCGACTGTTTTGGTCAAATAACAGCTTTATACACAAAATAAAGCAGTGTTAAAGCAACTCCACGTCATCATCTTTTCAATTTGAATCTCATTGCCTCTAGGATAAAAACTTCTTGTGTAAGAAGAAGTTGTAGTTCCTAATCCAGTAGAAATAATATCCAGTAACCCAGAAAATGACAGATCCATAATCAAAGAGCACATTTTTCCTTAGAAAAAGATCCAAAGCATTCATTTGCTGTCGTAATCAGCTGCAGTCTCAGTTCATTGTCTACTAATCTCTACGTTTCAATGTTGCATTAGTGATTATCGACATCATATTTTTATAACGCATTTTAGCAGTGTTTTAGCAAGAGTTTAATATATTTCAATGTTTGTATCTGTTTGTATGAAGCCATACCATTGACGTAGCCAAAAATATTTTCAAGAGAAATTTTTTATTATTTTTTTTTTGACGCCAAAATTTGGGGGGAAATTTTTAAGGATTAAAGAAGTTATTTGTAAAAGTAGCGGTTTCCATCTAGTTATAAGCAAATGTTCAACATTTCTTGCATAACTTGAATTAATTAAGGAAGCTAAAGCACATCCCCAACAGCAATTTATCTCACAAAACCTAATCCACATGACAAACAGCCATATTACGTGCATCATCACACATCGATCATAAAAACAGTCAAGAAAAAATATATTCACGTAATATCGATCCCATATTTATTTTATTTCTTCTTCGACTGTTTCCTTTTGTATTGCTAATTTATCTTCCACATCGCTCTCTTTCACACCGCTCACCTCTGTGAAAATGAAATAAATACACAAAAATATTATTGCTGGTGTTATAAAATATGGTCAAAAAAAAGTTCAATTATAGTGGATGTGCTAGTTTTGCTTACGGTAATGCATTACGTGGGTTAAAAGATTCGACAAAATTAAAAAGAAGAATTTTTGCAGTTATCCAGCTAGGCTTCACTCATACTTGTGGTTTTGTTATTGTGGCGATGAATTTGTGACGTCTTATCGATGTCTTCATTTGTTTTGTAAATGTCATGAGCGACAAACTGGTTGTGGGAGTCTTGAAGATGTGCTTTTATTCGAGGATTAGAGCTTAAATATTCTTATTGCTCTCAGAATTTTATAGAGAATCTGCTCAATGTTCTGATACACAAATAAATGTAGCAATGGAAAAGTTTTCGGTTCTTGAACATAAATTTAAAAGTACGACGAATTTGATTATGATTTATTATGCTGCTAGCGGTATCAAATTTACTTGATACAGTATGCATTGAAGAAGTAAGAAAATGAAGCTTTTGTTTCAATATGTGAAGCATGAATTATCATTTACGTGACATTGACAGAGAGAAGTTTCATATTTTTACTTAATGGCAATTTTAAATGATCTTAGTCTTTCTTAATTAATATCCCTAAACTGTAATCCAGAGTTGGCAAGACTCTTTGATGATGGTGATATCGAATTAAGGCGCCTGCCAACTCTGATGTATTTAAGTAAGATCCAGGACTGTTCTGTAATATGTTTTGCTGCTAAATGAGTTAAGATTTGTCAAAACTTTCACTCAAATCCACCCCTCCAGTTTTAAATTCAATCTACATAATTAATTTGATGACATTATTGCCTTCAGGAAGACTGTGTCAGTGTGCAAGTACCAAGACACAAAAACATTACGCCACTGGGTTGCTTCATCTCTCAAAAAATCAGCAAAGTAATCATAAAATTCAACACAATCAGCATTTGCATATTATGTATCGTAAAAGCCTCACAGTGCTACATGTAGTTGTCATTGTCATTCAGCAATTCTTCCTTTTGATTAGAATGTTACTGAACATGAAGCTTATATTACTGTATAGTGTCAATTTTCATTCTGCAACTTTTAATTACATATTTCGTTATCAAATGCCACTATTAAATTTTTTTTAAAACTAGACTAAGAGTTCTTATCTTGAATCATATTACCGAGAGAAATAAAAATGTTAACTAGGTCATGATGAACTTTAAATTAGGTCAATGGAACTATGGTTGGGTTTAATATTGAAACTTGATGTTTCACAAGGAGATGGCATGCTGCAATGTAATTCGAAGATAAAATATAAGAGAAGGTACGGGAGTGGATATAAAAAAAGTTTAAACGAGTGTCAGGATAAGAAGTTGAGATTAGATTTTTTAATGCATCAGTATATTAACCCTGAATAGCCCAAAAACTGGCATGATGCCAGTTTAATACTAAATAAGCATATAAATTCGGCACCAAAAATGTCACAACAACAGCCACATGCTTTAAATAAGCCATAAGTCATGTCAAAGGTATTAAAAAAAATACCAAATTAAACAAACTCTAGCTTCATATATCCAATATCACGATTTCCTTCAATTTATAAAATATAAATATCGATTCCCAAGCTCAATTCATGTCTCATCTCAATTAACACAAACATATCCAAACAAAACTCCACACAAATCCAATTAAATTTTCATCAAAGAATTTTCTACGCAATAGCAACTTACAAATTATCTATAAAACAGCTGTGAAATCCAGCAAAAAAAAGCTTGAGTCAAGCGTATAAAAAAATCCACAGCGACTTCG